AAAGTTGGGATGTGAAACGTACAAAAATATGAGATAATTACTAAGTGCATTAGAAAGCTCAGAACGACCAGTTTCCTTGTCGATCAGTATCCGGGCAAGATAGGGTTCCAACGAGTTTCTGTATGCCGATATGTGAGACAGGGATAAGTTTATTCTTTGAACTAGTGGAGGGGTGAGATTTGCATGCCCACATGTCAATGTGTAGAGGATGGGTACAGTCAGATAGGATATTGTCCGTAAACTTCAAACACACATCAATATGGGCATTACACACATTGCCATTCAAAACAGATAACGGAACTTGGGAGACAGGGCTGATCATTGAGAGGCCACACCTCACCAACTTGAAATCAGCCTTCAGAAAACCAGGGAAATTACAGGGGAGCAGTAAAAAGGTGCAGAGAGGACCTATTGTCAAACGAAAGCGTCTATCACCGACAATTCAGGACAAGTGGCGTAGTCCTCTTATTTGAAAAGAGAGAAACTTTCAAATTGCGAGTCACCGTTTGGGTATGTAAGGACTAGCAAAGGTTCCTTTCATTTGTGACACCTAAGAACTTCACACGGCTGACCCTACTCATCGGCTTTCCATGAATCTGGACATTGTCAGAGGGAGATGGGGAACGGTTTAAATTGAAAATAAACTCAAGGCATTTTTCGGGATTCAGATTAAAACCGGATGAAGTGGAATATGAAACGAGGTCGGATAGTTGTGTGTTATATTTAACCTTTTCTGATTGATTAGACACGGAAACAGAAATGGCGACATTATCAGTATACTTAAAGTGTTTAACAGGTAGAGTAATAGGCAAGTCACTGATATAAGTCGAAAAAGATAGGTTTACAACACAGCACCTTGAAGTGCACCTGAGCTATTGGGTGATGTGGTTGACTGTCTTCTTCCCAATTTAACATACTGATGGCTTTGCGAAAAGTAATCAGCAAGCCATTCCAGGAGAGAAGCGGGACAGCCAAAAGATTGGAGCTTGTTAAGTAAAAGAGAACGAGGTACTGAGTCAAAAGCGGAAGAATAGCCAAGAAATGCACAGTGCACATATTTGGACTTACAGATGAAATGAACTACAGAAGAAACGGCATCTGATGTAGAACGATCATGTTTGCATGCAAACTGATAAGTATCATCGGGGGCATTAAGGGATAATTGAAGGTGATGCATAGCTGATCGCTCCATCATTTTCAAACAAGTGGAAGTGAGAGCAATTGGTCTGAAACGCTTCGCTGCTGCGGCCTTTGACGTTCCTTTGGGGATGGGAGTAATTCTCACTGGGCTCCAACAATCCGGAATAGCTCGGAGTTCGAGTGAAAGATGAGCTATGTGTGCAAAAATGTGAGACAGGGAGAGAGCACCGTGTTTGAGAAGAGTAGGTTTTGAGTTGTCTGGACCAGCTACGGTCGACAATGTGAGAGAACACGTGCTTATACATCTCACTACAGGTGATGGGATCAAACGAAGGTTGGATGTTTGGAGAACTGGAATCAACATAAATGGGGTATGTGTCGGTATTAAGTTGCATGCTTTTTGTCCGCTTCACTTCTGCAATTTGCGCAGTAAAGTTCGCTTCATAAAAATTCATTTGAAGTGACTCGAGCATTCGGATACACATTCTTCGAAGCTGATCCAATATTTCCTCTCTGCCATGGTATATCGATTTTCCGGTAATAACAGGCTTATAATGGCTGAAAATTTACAGATGTGGACTTCTCCTTGGTTTAGTCGCTGCCACAGGTGTGCTTTGAACCCAATAGTTCGAGGCTAGAGCCCCGCCACTGCCACCCAACTTTGGTGGTAGGCATCTTTGCTATCGTCCGGGTCAATACCACACCTAACCTATCGGGGCCTTATGCGGTTCGCCATTCCAAGTCCCGAGGGGTAGGTCACTGGTTTCCTTCACTGAACAACAGGTCTTTGTGACTATGGAGTTCACCCCGTCTGCTGTTCATCACACGAAAATGTGTAATAAAACACCACCGTGTACTACTTAAAAGTAAGTAGTATCTCACAACAGTAGGGGTAATTCATTATTACTGACCATCATTCAGACTGTGGTAGTTTGATACACCATTGTTGTGGAAAATTTGATGCGATGATTAATGGCTTTATTGCGTCATGTGCAGAGCAAATAAAACACGTGAACTGAAAATCTGGGACGCACTGCACTGCTGTTCTTACCTGATTGGGTCTCTTTGATCACAGAAAAATTCCCCATTTCATCCCACCGTCTGACCGTTCGTCCTTGTCTAAGTGAACATCAGGAGAAATAAATTTATGGTTACGCCCGATGTTGTAGTTTAATTTACCTCGTGTTCGTTGAGGAACTTAGCTTGACCTGATCGTACATCATGGTAGATGAAATGTATCGGGTAATATAAGGAGAGGAATTCTTCATTGGGATTGGTCGTTCATGGAAATTCAAGAAGAGGAACTTTCGGTGCTCAATTTATCCAGAATTTTTCACGTCCCTCATTTGCACGAGTCACTGAATGAACAGAATGTTGTGTATGGACATGAAGTCTGAAAGATAGTTATCAAAATGGCTATTATTGTTTATTGAGAGCAATGAAATGTACTACTTCCAAGTAGTTTTGCTAGCACTTAGAAAAATAAATATATCATCACATTTTAATTGCATACGTCGATCATGCAAAATGCTCATTGTGAAATATCATTTCTCGGATTGTACCACAGCGTTTGAATCTATTTCAACATAATGTGAAATTAAACTTGTCTTCTATCATCCTATGCACCACATTACAACGGAAAACCCTAATCAGGTTGTTCGATTTAACAAATGTCAGTCGATAGTGAACCCAGCATGGAACAGGAGTTGCCCGATGGATGGAACGGTGCAATCACAGCTTCTTTGGCCACGGCCCCATCGGATGACGGAATAATCCGAGAACAGGATGCATTGACCAATCTGAAATCGACCAGTTGTGTGCCTGACTCAACGGATTGCACCCCGGCCACGTCAGAGTCACAGCAACCCATCGGTTCTCTTGGCAGCCAGCCAGCTTGGTCGTGCGCTTCGCCAGGATTGGCTAATACATCCTGGTTCCGTATGGCAGCACAATGCTACCGCGTAGATAACCACAACCTCAGGGACACAAATCCAAATCCACCGGCACACACAGATTCAAATTCAGTCAAATGGTTGGCCGAAGACTTATCCGCCGATCATGTGCACTCGTCGTCACGTGATTGGACGTTAGACACCCCACGTGAATCGTCTGGCCAGTTCTCATCGCTTGTCACAGAGATCAAATTTGATTCGAATTCCGGACTGACGGCGACTGGGACTAGTCGATTTTCGAGCTATGGGATTCAACCACTCGGAGGATCGTATGATGCGGCTCATCTGTGAGTACTGTTTATTGCGTGAGATTTTGTTTCAATACAGTCGTTCCTTGCGAACCACTAAAAGGTTAAGTAACAAATGAGCACAAGCTCCACGTTATCCACTGAGGATCAATTCAACAAGCGCTTCCTGCGAAAAATTTCCGTGTCAAGTGAGTGTCTAATTAATCAGTAAATCACCGGCTAGAGTAGATAACGCGAGACACAATTTGTAATTGTATTTGTATAACTTGTGTAAACATTTCAGGTAAAAATAAGTTCACTGTTCGCCGCGCAGAATGGAATAATAATAACAATAATAATGCTAATAAGAACGAAAGGTAAAGAATGTCGGTGATATTTGTTTTATGTACAAAACTGCTGACGTAGTTCATTTGAGACCTGTCCCTTGTTGGTAAGTGGTCGGGCCAGGTAGGATACAGGGGGATTTTTATAAATGTTAACCCGAGAGGGTAGATGTCAAAATGAGGAGCCTGTGGACGGATGGGAACGACAAGACGATAAACCAGGGCGTAGTGGATGACGAGAATCATCTAGAATCTTTTGAGCAAAGTTAAAACAAGAGTTGATGTGACCATCAATGAGTTCTGTGATTAATGAATCGATCAGAATTAATGATGCGCGACTGATGATCACCAAATCCTGGCGAATTGTTTTGAAGTTTTGTTTTAAAAGACTGGGAAACACTACAAGGGGTAGAGTAGAGTAGAATGGATAAAACGCATTGATGAACGAAAGACGATGGGACTGACTATAGGGTTCGGAATTGCCTCAGTTTGTGTAACTGAAGAGATAAGTGTCTCAGTTTTCCCGTGCAGTTGTAAATATGTGTGAACCAACGAACGTTACTGTCGATGGTGACACCCAGATACTTGACTGAGGTCATTCTAGATACAGGATTATCGTTAAGAATAGCAGAGTCCGTTGGAAATGAGGAGCGGGAAAGAGTGAAAATACACTCTACGCACTTGGATATGTTAAGAATGAGACCAGATTGGTCAGAAAACTGTTGAATATGAGATAGGTTTTCGGTAGAAGAATGAAATTCCCAATGAGGTGAAACTGTCTGACACAAAACAACGCCATCAGCATACTTTTGGATGTGAGCACGGGGTGGGACCGATAGATCACTAATAAAGGCAGAAAAAAGATATGGAGATAGAACAGCACCTTGAAGAACACCAGAATTATTAACAAGAGGTTTAGTTGCCCTCTCTCCTAATTTAGTGCACTGGACCCTCTCTGTGAAATAGTCAGCAAACCATGAGAGCAGTTGTTTTGGAGTGCCAAAAGATTCAAGTTTGAAAAGAAGAGATGATCGGGAAACAGAATCAAACGCAGACGAATAGTCAAGAAAAGCACAACGGACAGACTTGGCCGAATTGTTCAATGACTTGCTGATAAAATGCACTAGAGTGGATACGGCGTCCAATGTAGATCTGTTTGGTTTATATGCAAACTGAATGGGATAGAGAGAAATTGCGGTGTCTAACTGCAACCGACTCAGGGTGGCTAAGGTCGACACGAGAGGACGAAACCGTTTCGCAGAAACAGTTGAAAACGTGGATTTGGGAATTGGAATAGTGGCTACTGGAAGCCAAGAATCAGGAATCTACCGGGACGATAGAGACTAATTGACGACGGATGTTATTACATTGGTTAGGGAAGCTGCTCCAAATTTCAGAAGTGTCGGAGGAAAACCATTAGGGCCTGCAGCTAAGGATGCTCTGCAGGATCGAAGAAGCCTAAAGATTAAATCATTGGAAAAAGGCACTGAACTGGATTCATTGCATAGGAATGAGGGAATTTGGCTCTCATTTGTCGGGTGGATGAAATCGGTGTTAAGACTGTTGAAATCCACAGAGGTATTATAATGTTTTCTGTTCTGCCCACAGAGAATGTGAATACCTTGCCATATAAGCCCGGTGTTCTTTGTTCGCAGAATTTAGGCAACGATGATTACGATTAGGTACATTATCTCGGACCTGATTAACTCAGAGTAGTAATTTGCAGTTGATGCATGACGAAATTCGCAGGCCATTTCTTTGTACCTTCTCAGTGATTTCAAAAAGGGTGAGGTGATTCTACCGTTACAGACAAACAGAGTTTTCATTGGACAAGTGAAAGATCGATTTCATCGTTTCAGTGAACAGATTGGTACATTTGAAAAGCGAAGGACAGGAACTAAACCATGACTGGACAATCGCAATAGAACGGTTGAGAAGAGAGATAGGGTTGGGTGAAATGTCCCTGTAGTATTTGAAATAGGAATCGAAATCGAATGGCGCGAACTCGGTATCGGACTGAAAACCCACTGAATAGAGCAAAGTCAGGTAGAACCAAGACGAGCTGTGAATACAGTTCTATTCAGAAAATCATGGAAATATATATCACAAGCGACAAACAATCATTGGTCGATTCTTGAATGTCCAATCGACAACGATATGGTTCATTTGGTTGCCTTCTTTCATCTCAGCCAATCCGGTGATGCCAATTGAGACCACAGGGTTGGTCGGTTATCCCGTTTCTTGATTGGTTACCTGGACGCTGTACCGCGGTGCGTGCGTACTCGTTACACGATCACCACACCCCCTCTCTCTCCAAATGTATAGTAAAGCAGCATAACAGGAACCTTTGACCTCTGTTTGTAGTCAAACGACTTACGACTGATTGACAATCGGTTATATTCTGGGAGTTTGTCCTGACTGGAATTCGAGTAAGAGAGCGTCATCAGAATCCAACTCCCACCATCTGTGCGCAACTGTGGATGTTATCACGGAGGCAAGGTTTATCAGGTTTCGAAACCGCCAACCGTTGTATCATCGATCAAACTCGATCTGCTGTTGTAATGCGAGGTTCGAGCAAATACCATTGACAAATGGTTCTAGACATTCAATCTATTACAGAACCAATCTTGTCACATGCAGAGCATAGCCTCTGCTAGAGAGAGCCGTAGAACGGTTTCCCGCTCTTTTCGGGGTCATGAGCAATGCCAAGCCTCCGAGACATATACAACCCATAAGGCTACTGTATTGATTCGGAATACGAACCACGCAATACGGATCACAGAATACGAATCAAGGGTTAGCAGTCTCGAACTGGATCACGTAAGCACTGGACCGCACTGACACTTGCATGCAATGTCCCACGTAACCGAGACGCGAGCGAAAGGTCACAGGAGTAGTAGTTCGTTTATTAGGAGAAATAAGGGGGGATTAAAAAATATGTACAAAATAAACTCATCGGTCACCTGGCCTTCTGCCAATCGCGTTCCAGTATTTCTTCCATCGTTCTACTTCTGTCTGGGCCGC